ACTTTAAAAGAAATGATGAATGTCATGTTAATCAGTTATGGATTACCTTAGAACTTGTGGGGGGAAAACAATACTTTTTGCTAATTATATTCTTAATAAAGTACCCCGAAACAAGTGGATCAAACACCTTATGAAATGTGGTATGGTAAAGTACTATCCTACAAATACTTAAAAGTGTGGGGGTGTTTGGCTAAAATGACTATTCCTAATAATCCTAAAAAGATTAAGATAAGTCCTGAAACTATTGATTACATATTCATTGGTTATGCCAATAATAGTAGTGCATATCGATTTTTGATTTATAAGTCAGAATATTCCGAAATACATATAAATACTATTATTGAATCTTGGAATGTATCGTTCTTTGAACATGTATTTCTAAATAAAACTGGACAAAAGACTAGTACTAATAAAAGATCTTATGATGCTATTACTAGTCATGATCAAGAATAAGAACAAGAACAAGAGCAAGAGATAAATCAAAATGAGGAAGAGGAACCTAGGCGTAGTAAATATGCTAGAACCTCAAAATTTTTTGGTTGTTAGAAAATGAGTCTTTAACTTTCAAAGATGTTATGTCCAGTCCTGAAGCTCCTTTTGGGAAAGAGGTTGTAAATAGCGAAATTGAATCCGTCTTGCAAAATCAAACTTGGGAATTAGTGGACTTGCCAATAGGTTGTAAACCTCTTAGGTACAAGTGAATTTTCAAAAGAAAAATTAAAGCAGATGAATCAATCGACAAATACAAGGCTAGAGTTGTGGTCAAAGGTTTTAGACAAAAAAAAGGTCTTGACTACTTTGATACATACTCACCAATTATTAGAATAACATCTATTAGAATGCTAATTGCCACTGCATCTTTATACAATCTAAAAATTCATCAAATAGATGTCAAAACCGTTTTTTTAAATGGTGAGTTAAATGAAAAAATTTACATAGAGTAACCAGAAGGATTTTCTGTTCCATGAAAAGAAAAGAAAGTGTGTAAATTGATTAAATCATTATATAGTTTAAAACAAGCGCCAAAGCAATGGCAAAAGAAATTTGACAAAGCAATGATGTCAAATGGATTTAAAATTAATGAATGTGACAAATGTGTTTATATTAAAAACACAAATAAAGGTTATGTAGTAGTATATCTTTATGTGGATGATATGCTCATCATAGGTAATAATAATGACATGATTAAAATTACCAAGAAAATGTTGAATAAACATTTTGACATGAACGACATGTAGATTACTGATGTAATATTTGGTATGAAAATTACCAAAATATCAGAAGGATATGCTTTGTCACAATCACATTACATTGAGAAAATACTTGACAAATTCAGCAAATGTGATGATCATCTTGTTAGAACACCTATGGATGTTAATTTGTTTCTTTCTAAGAATATACAGGAAAATATTTCTGAATTAGAGTATGTCCAAATTATTGGAAGCTTAATATAGTTGATGAACCGCACTCGTCCGGATATAGCTTATGCAGTAAGTAAATTAAGTAGATATATGAGTAATCCAGGAGTAGAATACTAAAAAATAATTTTAAGGGTTCTAAAATATCTCAGATTTACTCGTAATATTGGGCTGTATTATACTAGATATCCCACAGTACTTGAAGGATATTGTGATGCAAATTGGATATCAGATATTAAAAACTCAAAATCCACCAATGGGTATGTCTTTACTCTTGGTGGGGCAACTTTAACTTCGAAATCTTCCAAACAGACTTACATTGCTAGGTCTACTATAGAATCAAAATTTATAGCTTTATATAAAGCTAGGGAAGAAGCATAATGGTTTCGCCACTTCCTTAAAGATATTCCAATGTGGCCAAAACCGATGCCTGTTATATACATACATCGTGATAGTCAATCAGTAATAGGTAGAGCACAAAGTCATATGTATAACGGTAAGTCACGACACATTCGTCGTCGACATAACACCGCGAGACAACTACTCTCTAATGGAATTATTTTCATTGAATATATGAAGTCTAAAGACAACATAGTGGATCCACTAACCAAAGGGTTAGCAAAAGAGTTAGTAAAGAATTCATCGAGGGGAATGAGACTTAAACCTATTAAATAAGAGTTACCACAACGGCAACCCAACATAGTTGGCTGGAGATCCCAAGATATAGGTTCAAAAGGACAACTGAGTTGTGTATGACTCATAAGAATCACTAGGGAGTAAAACTCCTACCCATTTCTATGATAAAATAGTGATGTCTGCAACGTTTTAGGTTAAGTAAATACTTTTAATGATTCTTATATCTAGGAATATCTAGTGGAGTATGGCAGGATACTCTTCATAAGAATCACCTATATGAGTGTGAGATTTGTAAAGGGATACAATTCTCTAGAGCACTCATGAAAGACAAGGTTGTTTAGGGCCAAAATGAACACAATAGTGAGAACTAAACTGTGTCTGATAATATACTGTGTGAGTTCTATTGTCTTGATTTACATAAATGGCTGAACAGTTTAAGACATTGTGTTCACTGATTAGCTAGTAAATCCGATAATGTCTCGCAAGGAAATGTTCAAAGCCAAAAACTACCTATTATTTGCAGAATGTTTCCAATTTCTATACTCTCTGTAATTAGATCATGTTGTTACATTTTCTCTCCGTCAAATTTCATTCATGTGAGGGATTGTTGGAATTTATGGTTTTATAGGCTTATTTTGGGCTAACTTTGAGCTCAAATTTGAGTGGGTCCCATACATCTTTTGAGGTAGGTCTAAAGAGGTGATGTGTTCTTTGCTGCATGGCAAGTCATACGATGAAAATGGTTCGTCAAAACCATTTATGAGTGAATAGGAAGTTGGAATCGTTTTCAAATTCATGGAATGGACAATTCAAAAAGTAAAATGTGAGTTTCCTTGGAATGGTTATCTCACATTGAAAACTTAAGAGAACTTCTATATGTATATAAATTCTAAGTGGCAACACTTGGGTTAGGCCCCAAGGGGCACCCCAAGTCTGTAGAAGGGAGGAGTTATTGACAAAGTGAATCTTGGCTCAAACCACTACACGCGCGCGGGTGTCGTTGTCTGTCAGATTGGCTGGCCGAGTTGAGCTGTGCTGGGCGTAGGTGTGCGTTGTGGGTCGGGTCAGTCCTAATTTTAATTTTTTGGACAAAATTTATTTTGATTTTTTTCAAAAATTCTTGCAAGAAAATTTTGAATTTTTCACCATTTTGAATTCAATTTTTTTGCTCCCAACCAGTGTGTTTTTTCCAAAACCAATCCAAATAATTTTCAACTTGTTTTTGCACCGGACAGCAGCTATCTATTCAAAGAGATTTGAAACTGTTAGTAGTTATCTGTTCAAAACTGTTTGCATCTATTCAGTTTGGTTTTGTACCTGTTCGGATCTATCCAACAGGTTCCAGTTTGCCTATAAATACTACATCATTTCCAATAGGTTCTGGATCCTGAAAAAGTATTCTTGCTTCCCATTTTTGATCTTTTGCATTGTTATTCTTCATATTAGTTTTAGAGAAAATTTTAAAGAGTATAAAACACAGGTTCTAGTTCGCTATACAAATTGTTTGGAGTGCTATTACAATTTGTGTGGATCATTGTATCCTAGGAGATAGACGTCATTTATCCGTAAGTACCGAAGCGGAACGAATATGTCTTAAAGACAAAGTGTCACACACCCAACTTGATCATTTTGTACTTATTTGGTTCAATAAATAAATTCTGTAAGTAATTTATTTTATTTGTTTGATTTGGTTTCAACTTATTTATTTTACACAAAAAATTGTTCTAACAGTTCCACAGTAAATATCAGATATGGATACGCATCCGATACGACGGGATACATATCAGATACAGCAAAAAAATATCCTATTTTTTTTATAAAAAAAATTTGAATTTCGAATACGTTTGGGATACACAAGGATACTTCAAGGATACGCTTGGGATTCTTTCGGGATACGACGGGATGAAAAAATAATTTTAAAAACTTATAATGGAGTCAAAGTGTAAAATAACAAAAATTATCTAAAATAAAACAAAAAAAAGAATAAGCAAACAAACCCTAGCCTCTATCTATCGCGAACAGCGGTAACAAGGAAGAGAATGAGTCATCTTTGTCTAACCTCTGTCATTGTCGTCCTCTCTCGCTCTCACTTGCACTCTCATTCTCTGTCGCTCTCGCTATCTCTCTCTTGCTCTCTTACTCTCACTCGCACTCTCATTCTCTCTCTCTTGTTCTTACTCTCTCGTCATCTCTGTCTAGCCTCTGTCACTTGATCTCAGTCTTTCTCTCTCACTCAATCTCACGCTCTCTCTCTCACTTTTCTTCTGTTTTCTTTGCTCAATCTCACTCACTGTACTTCTAACCCCTTTGATCTCTGTCCCTCTCTTCTTTTTTTACTTCTTTTTTTTTCCTCACTATATTAGTACCCACCTTCTATTTCCTCAAAAGAGAACATCAACGAGCCTTATGAGGTATGTTTTTTGAATTGCTGAAATTTAATTGAATTGTTGAATTTTAATTGAATCGTTGAAATTATTGAATAATAATTGAATTGCTAAAATTTAATTTAATTAAATTGCTGGAATTATTGAAATTTAATGTTCTTTTGCTTTAGATTTTATTTTTATACGTATTACATTACTAAAAATTATAAAAAATATATTTTTTACGAACAAATCCCCGCCGTACCTGTATCTTAATTTTTCAAATTTTGCCTTATCGTCGTATGCATCATATTGTATTATATCTGTATCCCATATCCGTATCCGTACTTCCTAGATCCACACCCCCTCAAAATGGAAAGGAGGCTTATACTAATTAATTTTTCAAATTTTGCCTTATCGTCGTATGCATCGTATTGTATTATATCTGTATCCCATATCCGTATCCGTACTTCCTAGATCCACACCCCCTCAAAATGGAAAGGAGGCTTATCCTAAATTAATATGGCATCAAAACTCAAATCGAAAAATTAACAGCAACTATTCACAATTAGCCGAGAGGAAAGAAAGAGAAAAGGAGGGAAGCACTCCGTTCATATATATATATATTCATAAAGCCAACCCAATGTCCAAAAAGCAAGGGAACATCAAACAAAAAGGCTTAACTTCGAATAATGTCGGCAAAGGCATAGCTTGTCTATGTCTTTACAGTATGAATCAATCAATCTTTTTCATACCTGTATATCAGATTGAATGACCCGCTTAAGTTAGTATTAACAAAATATATGGCAAAACATACTCGGATCTTCTCTTCTCCAGCATTGATATAAATATGTATTTTCAAGTAAACGGGAAGGCATGGCATGGAAACACAAGTAGAACGTCGAGGCCTCCTCGTTACTTCTCTGCTAATTGCTAATACAGTAATACTATGTTCCATATATACACTAGTAGCTACAATTGCAGCTTTGGTCCATCTTCATAGCTCCATTTTGAGCTGATTTGGGGGCAGACATGCTGTGCCAACATAAAGAGTAGAATCAGTCCCACAGTTCCAAAGAGGGATTCTTCCAACAGAAAATATGAGTCATGCCACAAATTTTCACCCAACAAAAAAAAAAAAATAGTCAAATACTTTAAACAAAGTGGATATCTGGAATCATTTAGTCAAATTTGGGGTTATTCTATCTTTGTTGATATCCCAACACAGCATGAGTCTAGCTTTTTCTCTTTATACACACAAGAAGTACTTGACTTGAAAGATATCACAAAAAAATGACTACATCATCATTTGTGACTGAATTTGCTGTAGAAAGAATTTCTCATCCACCCTTGCTATGTATTTCCCTTGTTATATTCTTCATATCTTATCAAAACAGAAAAATAAAATTAAAAAAAAGAATAGGAAACTGTGTTAAAATGGAATTCACCTGAATTTGTTGACAAGTCATAACTCAATAGTGAGTTCTCTGGAGTAATGAAGGTAGCGTTGTCTTCTCTTCCCCAAACTGGCTGATGAAGTCCATCAAAATGCCACAACTGTTGATACTGTTGTATGTTCCCGTTGACTTGTCCTTCTGACCACATCAGTGGCATAACCGTGCCCGGGAAATTACCATCCATTGGAGATTCATTCTGCAACATTTAAAGTTAAATGAAATAAATTATGGTCAATAATGAGAATAAACTTGAATGGTGTCTCAACTTGTAAAGTGATGTGGTCTTTAAAACGTGTAGCTTAGCGGCACCATTGAATGGCAAGTACCATAACTCTGACTAGTCAGGTCAACATAGACTAGCTTTGCAGAAGGATTACCGTCCCCATACAATTACATGGTTGACCATTACACTCTTTTATATGAATATGATTTTTTTACAAATACACTAAAGTACTTGAGAAGCGCATTGTCACTCTGGTAACCTAAGAAGCATGGACACATGATACAACACAGACATAGTGACACAGAAATTTTCAAAAAATGTAGAATACGACATGTGGGGGAAAATGCACAAATTATATTATTTTATATATTTATTAATTATTATACGTCATATATAAGGATAAGCAATTATTATATCTCATGTATATGACTATTTGATTCAAATATAATAACAAAATGCAATATAGCACAAATTTCTAAAGTACAAAAGAAGGGAATACATGTATATTTACGTTATTTTTCTTTTATTTTTGGATTACAAGTTATTTATTCAAACTTGTAATGTATTATTTCATGTGTGTCTAAGCGACAAACACGTGTTCTCCAAGTGTCTAAAGTATGTCTGACCCTTGAAAATTTTAAACAATAAGTAGGACATGTTTAGACATAACAGGTGTTGAGAAGTGTCCGATGAGTGTTGTTGTTTGTGTCGACACAACATGCCACCTTCTTAGAAGGGTCTGTGCTTCTTAGCTAGTATCGTAAGGCACCTTTGGTTTTCCCTGAATGACCAAGCACTCCTCAAGATGCCATGTGGCTTGAAACAGCAAAAATTGCACTTAAGTTGATTGAAGAGGATATTTACCCATCCTTAATCAGGGACCACCAGCCTAAGAGTCCCACCGAAGTAACCCCTATGGTAAATAGCATTAAATTGTGGTGCTGGTACACATTTCAGTCAATCACATTCTAATTAACAGTTGAAGATGTGCAGATGGCGGGTAGCTTAGGTGGTCCAAGTCTGACCCCCCTGCTCTGCCATTATTGATGGTGGAAACTTTCCTTTGAAATCTTGAGTATGCACCTTGCAAAATAGATCTATATGAGAACTCCAAAAACTTGATATTTCCCACCGTACCAACTTACTGAAGGGTAGACAAATTTACTAATTTATGCTGGGTGTTATTTAACAAAAAGTGCTTTGAGAAGTTGATGCCATGGGTGCCTGCTCATATTATGGCACAACCAAATATTATTAATATTAATACATCATTTTTCCCAATATGTAATTGAAAGTAATGAAAATTAGCAGAGTCTAGTACTAGTGCAAGATAAAGAAAGAGGGCTGTGTAGCACTTACTTCTGCAGCCAATAAATTGTCAAGGTTGAAATCAATTCTTGGGTTAACAGCCGCAAGTCTCATTGATAAGAACTGAAATCAAACAAACATCCAATCAGAAAATGATTGAGGCAACAGAGGACAATATGATTGAAGCATCATTGGAGATTGCCAAGTGATCATTCAGTTTTGTTGCATTTTTCGGGTTGTTCCATGATTCATTAGCTTCAAATTTGAAAGAGAAAAGAACTTCTTTTTCACAGGTAATGACAACAGATCATATTTATCTTATTGTCAACCAAATCACAAAAGTGACAAAAGCAACAAAAAAGTAAAATCTAAAGCTATCTGAATTCCCAAAACTAAACATTATGTGTTTGGTAACGTTTACGTTTTCAGTTTATATTTACAAAAATTTTGTAAATATAAACAGAAAACTGAAAACGTAAAGTGTTACCAAACCGCACCTACTATTTTGCTTTAGGATAACTCTTGGCATCATGGAATGTCTTCAGACATAAATTCAACCCAAGAATAAACCTTTGCTTGCATTGTCAAAAAGAACACTCTAGACTACACATTTCTATATCAGATGCAAAATGTTGTGTTGTGCTGGGCTAACCTCCACTTGACGTTGTAGGGACTGTACATGGCTAATAATTTCATCCAGCACCATAGCTGTACCTGAAATCTGCAAAGCAATTATTTCTTAGTACGAAGATGGACATAAATAGCACCTGGAAACATTTCAGTCCGTAATTTTTATGTGAATCATCAATGGCATGAACTATTCTCAAATGAACACCTGACCGTGAGGTTTTTTTATTATTATTAATGTTTTTCCGGTTTTCATTTTAATTTTGTTTATCCATTTTTTCCTTCTGTCTTAAATATTTTCTATTTCTGTTTTTGGTCTTTATTTTGTTATATTGTCTGTTTTTTGTAGTAAACTTCAGTATTTTATTTTTTAAATTTTATTATTGTCACTAAATTCTAATTGTTGTTAATTGAAATTGTTATTACAAATAATTAAAATTCTATAATGATGTATGGTGGCAATTCTAGTGGTAGACAAGGGGAACACAAGTAAAAAATGATTCCACATATCAAAATTTTGTTCAAGAGAGAAAAATGCATATAACAAAATTTTTATTGAGTTGGTATTATTTTTAAATTGATGACCACAACACTCGATTCTCAATACATACTCTCAATACTCCCAATGCCGACGCACCACAACTAATACTGAAATGTGTTTTGATACCACAATAAAGAACCATAGTCCTACTCTAAACCTTCAGCTAGACCCTACCCTACATAAGACATTGTTGTACATGCACAATTGATCACAGAAACCCACCAGAGTACTATTATGTAGGTACCAACCAGAGTTGACAGCTTTCATATGAATAACTTTCAAGTTTCAACCACCACAAATCAAGCTTACTTTCACATCTTCCAAACATTAAGATGGGTGGGCCCTGGAGGAAGACAGTGGCACAGCCTTAATAATCAATCCACTTGGGTCATTCTTTAAGAAATAATCAAGAAAGAGAGCATAAATCAGAAATGGTAAATTACTTTCAAAAATCACCAGTCTCGTTATATTGTCTGCTCTCTATGACGTAAAGTTCATTCGTTGTGGTTGAAAACCATCACATCATACGGGTACAAGTTCGGCTTGGGCTGTCAGCAAGTGCTTTGTGAAAGAAGTGTTTTTCTGTCCAACCATTTGTGATTTGTGACTAATCCCTAAATTTAGATGAAATGTTTGTAACATGCACCTCTCAAATGTCTGCATAACAACACATTCAATACACAACTGAAGAGATCGAGATATCCCCAGTACATGGGACCCATAGACAACCATTTAATTTGAGCATTAGATGTGTTTCCTAACACTGTGTTTGGATTGAGTGATTTGGAGAGAAAAGAAAAGAAATAGAGAGAAATGTATTTCTCTTCCTTGTTTGGTTATCTTAAGTGGAGAGAAATGGGAAGAAATAGAGATGTAATGATTATGGGTTGGATGTGATGTTTTGTTTGTTATGGCTAAAATAGCCTATTTTGTTTTTTGTGGCTAAAATAGTCAAAAAAGCTTGAAAACCATCTTGCCAAACAGAGGCTAAGTTATATTCAAAAATTGTTTCCGGACAAAAATGAAAATTATGGGTATTTTTAAACAAAAACATAACCAAAAGTGTCCAAATTTCCATGCCAGCATTTCAAAATTAAATCAATCCAACAAAACTAAATTCGAGTAATTCTTTTGAAGGTTTTCATCACAACCAACAGGTATGCACCACCAAAATGAGAAGTGCAAAATGAAAATATTATTTGACCCAAAAAAAAAAAGGGAAAAAAAAAGAAGAAAAGGATAATTCAAATGACAAATATAACCTTAACTGGACTCCTAACAAACCACTGTTGGGGAAAAAAAAAAGTCGAAAAAACAGTGGAATTACGAGATTGCCACTTCCTTGACACTTTTCTTAGTGCAAAAGCGAGACAATCTTTTTGTTGAGAAAAGGTGACAACGACATAACCCTTATATCACTATTAAAAGCCTAATCTAAACATAAAATATCACTATTATACATCATATCTTGAAAGATTATCATCACATAATCCAAAATTCAACCAAACTAATGATAACTAAACTTAAAACCACATATAAATAATTCCAAAAATGACAGCTAAGCAAGTAGCTAACCTTATTGCATCCGGGGACCAGTTCTTGAAGTAGCTTCATCCGAGCATTAATCTTCTCTCTCCTAGCCTGCAATTAAACCTTGATTATTACATTAATAACGTAATAAAGGATTGATTGATCAAATTAGAGTATGAGATTTAGTACTCTCTCAGCTAAGCTATGGCTATCTGTAGCTTGGCCGCGCCGAGCTCGGACGTGAACGTAGGGAAGCTTATCGCCGTCATCGGAGGCCTCATTTGCGACGCTTTTGCTCTTTTTCATCGACCCTTTACCCTAATGTTTGAAACAGAGTGATCTAATGAGTTCTAGATAAGCATAATTAGAAACCCCAATTGATGAGATTGGTCTTATTATTACCTTCTTCTCTCGCTCCTTTCGCTTTGTTGATTTTGGATTGTTGTTTTGAGCCATTGGATCAGATGAGTTAGGGTTTGAATCCGAATCGACCGGTTCCTGTTTCGCTTTGTGCGAATTCCCACTTGAATTGGACGGAATTGAGTTCGTCTCCGGCGAACTCTCGGTAGCGAAGACGGAATTCCTAGAAGCTCGTTCAAGTAGAGCAGTGTAGGGTTCGATTTGGTGATGATTACACCAAATTTCGCCGGGAAGCATCGCCGGAGAGTGTAGGAGTTCCATGGCTTGGTTCGCCGGAAGCTCGAGAAGAGCAGTAAAGGAACTTCCAGATTCCGGCGGCATTAATATCTCGATTTCATCACCGAATTGAAGGGTTTCAACTCCAATTTCTTCAGATTTCACAGCGCAAGTCGCGGATCTAAGCTCAGTACTCGCAATTCGTTCCATCAATCGGCTGAAATTGGCTTCGAATCGAACCAGAAAACCAATATACGCCTCAATCGAGCACGTCGAATTCAATTCGAACACTGTTTTTCAGCAAAGTTTGAGACTATCTCGGCTTCAATAAGCTTCGAAAACACAACGAATACGAAAATGACAATTGCGGAGTAATCTTCTATACTGTGCTTCAATGGCGGTCAATCTATTCTCTCTCTCTCTACAAACTTTTTCTACATAAAGAATTGCTTCTGAGCCATTTCAAGTATTAGAGAAAGCAACGTTGCTTCGGTGCTTGTTCTACTCTCTCTTACTGTTTGGTTTTTAGAGAGAGAGAGAGAGAGAGAGAGAGAGAAATGGATACTTTCTTCAAGAGAGGGAATCGTGAAGGGTTTTAGTCCAATTTACGCAGATTAGGAAATGAAAAAAAAAGAAAAAGAAAAAAAGAAAAGTAAATCACACTTACTCCTGAGATTTTAATACATATCACTTTTGATATTTGAAAAATTATATTAATTTTTTGTTATTATAATTATTTAGATAGAATAAAAATATTAAGGCCAAGTTTGGGTACTTTCAAAAAAGTCAAAAAGTCAAAAAGTTATTCAAAAAGTTAAAAAGTTAACACTATTCACCAAAAGTCAACAATTACGGCTGCACAACTCCCAATTCAAATTTTTTCCTACAAATCAATTTTTATAATTTTTTATTACACATTTTTCAATAAAAAGTAAAAAAGTTAACCCAAACATCCATATTTTCAACCTCAATTTTTTAATCTAAAAAAACAAAAAATACACTTATTTAATTTTCTCAAACTTGACCTTAATTTTAGCCGTTCTTAGTAGTATATTTTTCAAAACTAATTGATCAGCTTTTTAAAAGAGTCAGCTTAAAAAGTCGGAATCAAAGAAAAAATAGGGGACAAAGAAAAAATGTGGGTTTACTTTTTGTTACATTGATATAAACGACAAAGAAAAAAACGTGGGGACAAGTCATGTACTTAAAATATGAGTATATTTTATTTATATTTTATTTATATTTTACTTATTTTTTTCTTTTTTTTTTCAATTTTTTCCTCAAATATCTAACCAAACACAACGTTAGGACTTGAAACTAATTGAATTGTTTAAGGATGTGTTTGGTATAATTTGTATGAATTGTTATTTGTATTTTGTTTTAAAAGCTTGTGTGAACAAGTTACATTGAGGTTATGTTGGACTATTGATTAAAATAATAAAAAAATTAATATAAAAAAATTATTTAAAGCCTCTGTTTGGTTTGTCTTTAGAATCACGATTTCAAAGGCAAAATATTCTCAAGGTGAAATTTTCAAAGTATTTTTCAAAATTCATAATTAAACACACAACTTAAAATTATACAAAATTTAATTTAAAAATTAATTTCAAAACTTATAACCAAACACACAACACAAAACTTAATTCAAAACTCTTTTAATGATATAGTATTAAAGATAGTTAGTGATGAGATTGTTAAATTATTTTTATAAAAAATCTAAAAAAAATAGTTTCTATATTTAAAAAATATCTAAAACAAATCTATTTTTTTTTTTTAAATAACAAGTTGCAATTGAAAAAAAGAAATACTGTTCCGATCAACTGGCCGAACGTCCGGGAGGATGTCCAAGCGGACAACCGAGTAGACTCAATCCGCTCTTTTTAAAATTCAAAATTTAAAAACACTTTTCAAAATTCATAACCAAATAAATTTTTTATTTTTAAAACTCAATTCACAATTTTACACTTAAATCACAATTTCAAAAAGAGAATCATATTTCCAAAACAAAACCAAACGGAGCTGAAATGTCTCGTTCAAATGAATTGTACATGGTAAGTCAAGTTCGGCACAGATAAAACATTTATCCATAGCATAGGTTATTTAGTTATTTTAGTCATAAAAAAAAATTAAATAGGTTAAAAAAGTTAATAAAACAACATGTCATATCTAAATTATAATCATTTCATTTTTTCTGTTACAAAATTCAAAAAAATTCATCTCAAACAAGATTTTTTAGTCTCAGATTAAAATAGATAAAAGTCTAAAAGTAAACTCACATTCTAAACGAAGACTATATTTTTTGGAATAGTGAAATTGTTTTAAACTCTGTGTTTGAATTGATAGAGCGAATGCGATCTTCGGTTGTAATATAATTTATTAATTCCTTGATATCTTATCGCATAACAAAATCAACAAAAAAATAATAATTCAACTCATTTAAAATTAATTTTTTAAAAACAATACTAGTTTGACAACTTAAAATTTTAGTCAAAAAGTTTAAATGTCACTATAAATTATTACATCACTCTTTTTATTTTTCTACATATCTTTTTATAAAAAAATAAAAAAAATATTAAAATAATATGTTCTTAAACCAAATCTGAAGCTCAAGTTTTAGAGAAATGTTTTTTTTCCCGAAATCCCCCCCGAATAGCCCGAAATTTAGAAGAGAGAGAGAGAGAGAGAGAGAGAGAAAGAAGAGGGGAAGAGAGGGAGCTCGCGCCGCGCCGTCGCCTGCCCTGCGCGACTTCGTACAACCCGCCTTTTGTCCCCCTGCCTGATTGGTCGGCAGTTCGTGTTGCAGCCACGCGTCGCCTCCGCCTCTGCCTCAGCCCAACCCGCCCTGCCTCCACCCCGGCGCCTCGCCTCCGGCCTCCGCCCCCGCCCCTGCCTCGGCCCCGCCCGCCTCGCCCTGCGCCCAGTCCGATTTTGTTGGCCCCCTCCCGTCCTTCTCTTCCCTCCTCCTTCTTCCTTCTTTCTCTTTTTTCTTCTTCTAAAAAAAAAAAAAAAAAATCAAAACGAGGGGATTCGAGAAAGACAAATTCGAGCTACCAATCACTTATGTTTTAGTTTTATTACGCTTACAAGTTAAGTCAAATTCAAAGTTTTTGCAGAATTAAACTCAAATTGATATCAGCCTAAATTTAAGTTAGACTAATAGGGTTGTTTGAGAATGAAAGGCTGGGTTTGGGTTGTAATTCAAGCCATGATTCTACATTTGTTATTAATTCTCTGTTTGTTTACAGTTTTTAAATTATGATTCTAAATTAATTTAAAACACATTTTGAAAACATATTTGATAAATTAGATAGTTTTTAAATTTTTGGTCTACCTGGTCGTTCGTCTAGACATCCGCCTAGATAGTTTTTGAATTTTTAAGTCTACCCAATCGTCCTCCGGACGCCCGGCCGGTTGACCAATCAGTTGACCGGAACAATATATTTTATTTTATTTAGCAACTGGGACTTGTTATTTGGGAAAAAAAAAATTTATATTTGATTTTGATGTTTTTTAAATATAAAAAAATATTTTTTTAGACCAAAATGACAAATTATTTTGACATTTATTTAAAATTAACAAAAAAAATTTGAAATAAAAATTCATTTGTCACAGTAATTTTTAAAAAATAAAAAATATTTTTGAAATTTTTTAATTTTTAAAATAAAAAATTATTTTTTTTCAATAATTATTTTTTTGAATTGAATTTTAAAAAAAGTTTGGTTACGAGTTTCGAATAAATTTTCAATAGAGTTTTAGGTTTTGTGTTTGGTTATGAGTTATAAGTTTTTGAATTAAGTTTTGAAAATTCTTTTCAAAACTCATATTCAAATAATTTTTCACAATCTCAACACTCGTTTTAAAAATTCAACACTCAATTTAAAACTCTTTTCAAAACTCATAACCAAGCAAATTTTCTCTTTTCAAATTATAATTCTAAAACTCACAAACTTAAAACACAATTCCACACTCAAATCATAATTCTAAATACAAACCAAATGCTACCAACGTTTTTAGTTAAAAAAGTTATCAAATCATTCTCTAATTTTTTTAACATCTTTGATAAAAATTAAAAATCACTAAATAAACCAATTCCTCCTCTTTCAAATTATCTAACAAGTTCAATTTATGATAGAAAAAGTCTGGACCCAGACTTAAAGTCTCAAATTTTTCTGGGTAGGAAAATTATTTGGTGGAGATTAAATTTGTATAGTATAAAATCTATATGTAAAATAAATTTGAACTACATAATAATAATTTTAAATAATTTCTGAATAATTAAATCTGGATTTATAATATTGCTATTTATGATAGGGTCTTCATTAATTATGGGTTGGGCCTGGTGTTCCATTACACTTTTAAGACTTGAGCTAACCCATCCAACAGAAGATTGGCCTCACATCAAAATTGGCCCAATTCATCTTAGGATTTTGACTAAAAATAAATAATAAAAATGACCATATTGAGTGACAAATTTTTCTGTTGAGAGAAGAATTTACAAAAAAATATAAAAATAAATAAATTCATAAAAGATGGGTTGGTTAGGAGAGGGAGATGTAATGTAAGTCAAAAATAGATAAAGACTTATTTTTAAAATTTTAGTGAACTCAAACTGATTTGTTTCACTTTGTTCTTTGGTGAAACGCACACGGATCCTCTCCAGCCAAAGGATCCCTCCGGTCCTCCGGTTAAGGGTCACGATTTGACCACGTGGCCCTTTGAAGATCTACGGCTCAAATTAAAAAAAAAAAAAAAGAATTTCGTTTTTCACCAAAAACTTCTTCTTCAAATCATCTAAAAAAAAATCTGAACATCATCAATATCATCTTCAAACTTAATTGATTATTCAGATCATCTAAAGATGTTCAAATTTTATCAAACGCTAAAAAAAATCTTCAAGATCAGATTTGAACATCAATCTTAATTGATAAAATTTGAACATCATCTTCAAACTTCAAACTTCAAAATTTGAACATCAATCTTAATTGATTATCAAACATAGATCTGTGATAAAATTTGAACATCAATATCATCTTCAAACTTCTTCAAACTTAATTGATTATTCCCCTCAACATTTCAGTTCCCTTTTTTTTTTTAATTGATATTTTAAATACAGATCTGTGAGTAAATCTGTAAAAAAAAAAAAATCAGACTTCAAATCTGCATAAAATTTTTTCTTGAAGATCATCAATATCTGCAGAAAAATCTGCAGAATTTTTTTTTAGTTGTGATGCAGATTTCTGTGTTCAAAAATCTTTGAAGATCATCAATATATATTCTTGAAGATCATCTATCCATTGTTTTTCAGAAATCTGCATATATATTCAGATCATCTAAAAAAAATCTGAACATCTTCAACATCATCTTCAACACCTTCATCATCTATCCATTGAAGATCATCAAGATCATCTGCAGAAAAAACGCATCAAATCTTCATCATCTTCAACATCATCATCTTCAACATCATCATCATCTTCATCAACAACAACAAAAAAAAACTTCATCATCTTGATTTTTCTTCTTTTTTTTCTTCCAAAATATCTGCATCAGAAAAACGCAGGAAAAAAGAAAAAAAAATGCATCCTC